GTAGGGAGCGAATACCCACCTACCATTTTTCAGTGGTTTTATTCACTCAGCCATTGGTGGGGTAAAACTATACAGAAATTACACATTTATAGCGCAAAATTAAATATTTAGTATTACAAGTTTATGAGAAATTCAATTCTTGATTCAGACGACCCTTTTACATTCCACTCTAAGGCCAATCCCTTCTCAAGGAACTTTAATTAAAAATGTTTTTAACTATTATTTTTTCTAGTCTTAATATGCAGTGAACCATCGTTTCATTAAGATGATGTCCTCTCTTTGTAAGTGCAAGATGAGTACCAAATTTTAAGCTTAAATAATATCGACAGTAAAGAATAAATACGTATATACTGTAATATATGCATGTATTCTTTTATAAGTTTGAAAAATATGTCTGGTAACTCATACATCTTTTTAATTTATGAAGGAGTTTGCTTGATTTTAATGTAAATGTATACAGTATTTTAAAGTTGTTTTTAGTTTCAGCAAGTTTCTAATTATTTGTTTGACTCATTAAGTTATAACTGATTTAAGCACAGTTCTTTTACATTCTTTTTTAAGACTATCTTATGTAAGAAATAATAAATCACCTTGTTAATCTAACAAATAAAATTTCGTAGAATAATCTTGTGTAAATCTATTTTTGAGTCATAATAATAAAACTTTTAGTGAAAAAAAAAGTAGTTAAGTTTTACCAGAAAGTTAATAAGTGTTTAAATGAGAAACTATAAATTACATTTTCTTTTATTAATTATACAGTAAATGATGATTGATGAAAGTTATAAAGTGTTAATTAACTATACTTAATATAATTAAATTTAATTAATACTTTTTTGGTGAAAGTCAACAATGAAATTTCAAAAGAATGTAATAATTTACTTAAAGAAACAAACTGTAAATTTTCAAGGAAAAGTTTATTGTTTCAGTGCTAAAATAACCGAGAGACATGTTCAAGAGAATTCTATCTATGAAATAAGAATGCATTACATGTATACACTCATGAAATACTAGAAATATCTCTTTTGCTTTTACACATATGTTTAAGTGGACGCCTTATATAAATTATACGCATCGTTCCTTAAATTATATTTATAAAAGATTTCAACCAAACAAATCCTAAATTAAAATATAAAAACAATCTTTAATCATTCTTCGACGAGATCATTTCAAGAAACGAATTTCAAGAAATTAGAAATATAATTGGGAGATTAGAATAATTTAAACTTATTCTTGATGAATGTTCTTTAATATTAATTGAGCATTCTCTTGAGATAACTACGAATCAATTCTACCGAGCTACTATAAGAACAATGATTTCAAGGAAAACTCCGAGAAGATGATAAGGATGATTACCTATATCTAAAACAGTATTTACATTCCTCTCGTATATAAAAATAGAAAACCAACGAATTGTAAACAATGTTAGCCGTCGAATAAAGCAGCAAAGCAGACTCGATAAACATCGTTGCATATTAGGTAAAGAGCAGTATGGAGGCGAATCCCCACCGCTACTATTTAATTTAATGCATCCCACAACGACATCTCGTTAAATTAAGTAACTTCTTTTTTTGCAAATTAAATAGCTATAAATAGCTGCATACTATTGAAAAAAATAAAGTAACTTTTTTACAATACAAATATGGTATTCTTCATCTTTACATTAAATTCTACCAAATGCTTTTGATCCAATTTCATATTCATGTGCATAGCATACAAATTATAAAATAAAATTAATCAAACACTTAAATATTACAATTTTTCCATCATTTTGTTTTTGTAATACACAATTTAGTTAACAACTTGTCACTATTGTCTGTTTATATTATTATTATTATTTAAAATAATAATAATTAGCACAAATATTTTTTGGGGTAATTTACATAGTTTTCGTGTAACATAAAACCGTTTACATCCAGAAAAACACACGTGTTTCAGCAAGGGAGAAAAATCCATAAGTGATACTGACTTGTTAACGAAAAATTACGAAATATGTAATGAAAAATAATCGTTATCCATTAGTATCTAGCTTAAATATGTAATAAGAAGCTACTATAAACATAAATTATAAAAAAAATAGGAATTATTCAAATCACTATAAACCTTAAAAGTAGATATAATATTAATGTTATTTTAATGTTAAATTCTTGTCAATGAGTAACTTCCAGATACTTCTCTTCCTTAATTTAATGATAAACTTTTACAAATTTATTTTTTAATTTAATGTTTGACATATTGAGGCGGTCGAGAAACCTCTAAAGAATGGTTGACTCCATCGCGAGACATTTTCTGGTGTGCGAAAGTAACGGATGGTGTGAAATAAATTTTATGACCATTTTAGACACATAAATCTTTATTTGAGATTTTGATATTAATTAAAATATATAACTTATGTTTGGGTAAATAGTCTAAAACATATCGAGGTATATTGTTAATCAATTTTTTAAATATTTATATTCTGATGAAATCAAATAAAAAATTTTGAATCAATTTTTACTACGATTAACTTCATTTCTATTGTGATAAATCACAGCCTGACTTAAAAATAATCATTAGAAATAACAGCCAAGCTATCCATTTTGCCACATTAATGGAATCCGAGTGTTCATCGGATAATTCTTCACACTTTTTGGATTCATTATTACTTGGTTCTTTATCATCCTCATTTATGGTATCCAGTTTCAAACGTGCCAATTCTATCTTTTCTTTACGATATCTTTCTTTGTCTTCCTCGGCCAATTTTATATATTTTGCCTTTTCTTTTTTTTTTAAACAATTCCATTTCCTTCCTATTCGTTTGGCGATTTCAGAAGTTTTACATTGAGGATTTTCTTTTCTTTCGTTGGCGTGAATATCTTTGTAATAATAAATGAAAGAGGAGGGACTTTTCTTTGGAAGATGTATCTTAGATTGTCGTTTTAAATATTTAGATGGACTGATCATGGAAGCTGGAAGAGAGCGCTTCTCATTCCAATATCTCTTTCTATCGATCTTTGATTTATTTTCATAATTTTCTTTAATTTCTCGGTCTAGAGTTTTCCATTTCTGTCCGAGGATTTTTGCCGCTTCTGTTATTCTTATTCCCATTTCCGCTTTGATTTTAGGAAGATTTTCAAGGTAAAAATATAGAAAGGAAGACATTGGCCTCTTCGGAAATTTTATTTCTTTTCTGATGTTTCTCAGGAGCTTTGTTGAAGCTCTTCTCGACACACGGGAACGGCAATTTCGATTCTGATTTTGATGGAAACAATTTTGTCTTCCAGATTTTATTTTTTTCTTATTAGTTTTAATTGATTTTCTGTCCCGTAGATTTTCACTTTTGTTTCTTCTTTCTGGTTTCATATTTTCGGTCTTTATGAATAAATAGAAATTCTGTTAACGAAAATAATGAAACAAACTGGATTCTTTCTAAACAATTATCACGCGTGTATTATTGAGAATAATTGTGACGTTCTAGCAGAAAATATTAACTTATTCTATAATTGAAATACATTTACGTTAGCTTATAAAAATTTTATATTTTAATATTTAGTTTCAAAAATATTAATTATTTCTAATATATTCAATCACAGATGCATTCTTTGGTGTATCATGACACTATACTTACTCATAAAGATAAATATTTTATGTAAAACGCTAATAAATAAATGAAATTTTAAAATTTTGCAAATTAAATGTTGAAGATTATCAAAGTCTTTCGGGACCATCATGAAGGTTATGTCTGTTTTCACCTCACCACAGGACTAGAAATTATAATCGTAAAGGTGATTGAGATTTACACTCATAGTCACCATGAGTTTGTCTGAATCACTTTTACCATTAACATTTGTGAAATTTTTTACTCGATCTCAGGAAGGCGTAAGTGCTCTATTTTACCTCCTGTTAGGATGCCCATTCTCTGAAATATCTAAAGTCGGGAGGAAAAGAAATTCTGTAATGTTCATTCTCTCATATCAATTCTTTTTCAATTAATGGAAAGATTTTCGAATCAATTTTTAGCAATAACAATTATGAAGAGGATGGAGATGAGAATTTCTCTTTGGGCACGGAATAGTTTCTACTTCTATAAATAAATTTTATTGTTACTAATAAAAAAGTAAAATATTTAAGATTTCTTTTTAATATTAAAGAATCATTCTTCGTATTTCACTCGTTCAAAGAAAAGGGAGGGAAAAGGCCAAAGGGGCAGCTCTACACTTTGACCCGTACACAAGCAATCGACGACCCTGCTTATTAGTATTGTGACGTGCATAAAAAAAACATGAATAAATCTCAATTTCTATAGATTTAGCTTTATTTGTATTTATAACATTATGTTGTATGGAAAACAACGCTATATTTCATTGCTAGAGAAAGACAAAAGATTACATTTCAGCTAAAGAATATATTTCGTTTTAATATAATTTTAATATGTACTAAATATCATTAAATATTAAATACATAATAATTAATTTAATTATATTTATTAAATTGAAAATTATTATTTTTATAACAATTTTATGAAAAAAAGCTTATGTTATAAAGAATTAAAACAAACGAATATTATTGTACAGCTAGAACTACATAAAATAATATAGTTTTATATTTAATAGAAAAACAAATTTAAAAATAAAATAGTAAACATTTATAGTTTCAATATTAATTAACGTTTTAATTAGATAAATACAGGGTGGTCCAAAAATCCTTTAACTGCGCTTTTGTAAGAAAATCAACAAATTTATATATTGAGTTAGAAGAAAGTCTGATTTTTTAATAATTTTTTGCAAAGTTTATAATTAATAAAGTATTTGAATAAGATAGCAATTTTCTTTTACAATAGTTAACAGACTTTTGGATCACCCTACATAATTGTGTATGAATTTATAAATAAATTTTATTTATTTAATTAAGAAAGAGCTTTAATGAATTTTAGTTACTTATACCTTATTCTAACTATATTTAACAATAATTTATATTAATATAAAGGAAGAAATTAATAGTTTAAATTAATTTTTTTTATATAGTTCCATCATGTTTTTTGTTGGATGGATTTATTTTGTTTTTTTCCTACTGTGCGTAACAATAGAAACTGTTACTTCTGATGAAAGAAAAGATGCAAGTGAACGAGTAAGAATCGACTTTTTATAATATTTAAAAATATTTTATGAATTTTATATATGATCAAATATTTAATTTAATTTCTATACAATTAAATTATATATATTTTAATTTATATATATATATATATCTTTTTTTTTCAGCAAACATCCAACTTAATTCGTTGGATTCCAAACACTTTGCACACTGCAAGCGAAAAAGAATTGGAATTAATCCGAACTTTGGAGCAATTAAATAGTAATTCTGAGGAAATTGATAGCAATATTGTTATGCCACCCGGATTTATAGGTACTCGTGGAAAAAGGAATGACATTCAAGATAGGCCTTCACCGAATTTCGATATGGGAATGAACGATAAAGGAAATAATATTTTGCCTGAACTTTTTGAAATTCCTACTAAAAAGCAAGATTTTCCACCTGGGTTTATAGCAGTAAGAGGAAGACGTCAAGATGTCCCTCCAGGTTTCGTTGCTGTCCGAGGAAAAAGACAAGTAGATCCGGGATTTATTGCAGTTCGGGGAAGAAGAGATGACATTTTCCCTGGGTTTGTGGCTGTTCGAGGAAAAAAACAAAACGTGGATCCAGGTTTTATAGCAAGTCGTGGTAGAAGACAATATGTAGATCCCGGATTTATTGCAGGTCGCGGAAGGAGGAATGGTGGCAAGAGCATAAGTGTGGATCCTGGATTTATTGCAGGAAGAGGTAAAAGAAACGATGATTCAACTGATTTTATGGCAATTAGAGAACCAAGGCAAGACGTAATAGATCCAGGTTTTATTGCTGTTCGTGGAAAACGGAATATTGACATGCCTAGCGATGTAAACGTTATCAAAAATAGAAAAATCCATTCCTCTAATTCTATGATAATACACGGAAAAATACAAGATAAACAACCTACATTTGTGGAAATCCGCAAGAAAAGAAGTGCTCCTCTTGAATTTATAGAAAATCAAGCAAAATCAGAATATTTATTTGATATTCCCTTGATATTGCTTTCAGAAAGATACAATTTAGTTGATGATTTAAACGGAAACTCTGAAACAGATTTTTCTAAAAGATTTGATAATTTTCCACCAGGATTTATAGCAGTTCGTGGTAAAAGGAAATCAGAATTTACATATGAAAATATGACTAATGGAGATCTAATTGATTGCACGAAAGCACAAGTTGCATTATGTCGTTGGTTTGTCGCTACAAAAGGTTAAACCTTCAGATAAAAATGAAAAATAAAAATATTTTCACTGAAAAAAAAAAACATAAATAAAATAATTTCAAAGCATCATTATCGTTATTGGTTTAAATATTAAAACCAAAAATTTAAACATTTTATATGTAATAAAATTATTTTTCGGTCCCAAATAAATATACAGATTTCAATTATAGAATAAGTTAATATTTTCTGCTAGAACGTCACAATTATTCTCAACAATACACGCGTGATAATTGTTTAGAAAGAATCCAGTTCGTTTCTTTGTTTTCGTCAATAGAATTTCTGTTAAATTTTAAATCGTAAAGATCAGAAATATGAAACGAAACGAAAATGAAAATCCACGGGACATAAAATCAAATAGAAATGACAAGAAAAAATAAAATCTGGAAGAAAAAATCGTTTCCATCAAAATCGGAACCAAAATTGTCGTTCCCGTGTGTCAAGAAGAAGAAGGGCTTATACAAAACTTCTGAGAAACATCAGGAAACAAATTAAATTTCCGAAGAAGCCCATGTCTTCCTTTCTTTACTTTTACCTCGAAAATCTTCCTAAACTTAAAGCGGAGAGAGGAGTAAAAACGACAGAAGCCGCAAAAACCCTCGGACAAGAATGGAAAACTCTAGGGCAAGAAATTAAAGAAAATTATAAAAAGAAATCAAAGATGGATAGAGAGAGATATTGGAGTGAGAAGCAGTCTCTTCCGGCTTCTATGATTAGTCCATCAAAATACTTAAAACGTCAGTCTAAGTTACATCTTCCTAAGAAAAGTCTCTCCTCTTTCATTTATTATNGGGGAAGAAGAGATGACATTTTCCCTGGGTTTGTGGCTGTTCGAGGAAAAAAACAAAACGTAGATCCAGGTTTTATAGCAAGTCGTGGTAGAAGACAATATGTAGATCCCGGATTTATTGCAGGTCGCGGAAGGAGGAATGGTGGCAAGAGCATAAGTGTGGATCCTGGATTTATTGCAGGAAGAGGTAAAAGAAACGATGATTCAACTGATTTTATGGCAATTAGAGAACCAAGGCAAGACGTAATAGATCCAGGTTTTATTGCTGTTCGTGGAAAACGGAATATTGACATGCCTAGCGATGTAAACGTTATCAAAAATAGAAAAATCCATTCCTCTAATTCTATGATAATACACGGAAAAATACAAGATAAACAACCTACATTTGTGGAAATCCGCAAGAAAAGAAGTGCTCCTCTTGAATTTATAGAAAATCAAGCAAAATCAGAATATTTATTTGATATTCCCTTGATATTGCTTTCAGAAAGATACGATTTAGTTGATGATTTAAACGGAAACTCTGAAACAGATTTTTCTAAAAGATTTGATAATTTTCCACCAGGATTTATAGCAGTTCGTGGTAAAAGGAAATCAGAATTTACATATGAAAATATGACTAATGGAGATCTAATTGATTGCACGAAAGCACAAGTTGCATTATGTCGTTGGTTTGTCGCTACAAAAGGTTAAACCTTCAGATAAAAATGAAAAATAAAAATATTTTCACTGAAAAAAAAAACATAAATAAAATAATTTCAAAGCATCATTATCGTTATTGGTTTAAATATTAAAACCAAAAATTTAAACATTTTATATGTAATAAAATTATTTTTCGGTCTCAAATAAATATACAGATTTAATCATTTATATTAAATAAGATATTAATTTTTATAAATAATTTATGGCAGAGATTTCTAACCAGTAGACTTCTTTCCAAAATTAGATTTAATTATTCGACTCCTTTCTATACTATGTTATCTTAAAATAAGAAAATTTATAAGATACAAATATAAGAATTACAAAAATATATATTAATTTTTAATCCTAATAAAACTAAGTTTATTGACCAACCGAAACGATCCCTAATAATTTATCAACCATGCAGATAAATTTAATCCTGGAAGTGTCAATAAATTACTAGTTGCCCTTTCCAGGATTGATAGCAGAAAGGTTAAAATAAAAATTTTCCAGTATTTTTAAGGATTAAATTTATCTAAAGTAATAAATACAAGACACAAAGTGGATATCTCTTATACCAATTACCAATACTTTCTAATTAAAAGTTTAAGTCAATGTAATTTTTAAATAGATTTTTGTTAGTTATATATTTTTTTCCATTTTCTGACGTAAATTACTAATTTATTCAAAAGAAAACGTTCTTACGTTAAGTTTAATGTGTATCTAATGTCAACTAGAGCTATTTTACGACTATAAACCAATTGATGAATTGTGGTAAAGTAATTTAACCTTCAATTTGATTTGTAATAAAAATAAATGAAATATCCTCGACTAGAAAAAGAATGGAAAAGTAATCAAGATGCCAAATAATAGAAAACTTACATTTACATAAATCACAATCATGAAATGACTTTCTTTTAGAATTTGAATTATTTATGAAATCACTTGTCTGGTTAAAGTAATTTTTATTTTTATTTTTTTTCATTGATGCTTACAAATTACCTCAGCAAGAGCTTCTCTGAGTTTCCTATAATCGAAAATTGTTTAAGGAAACAACAGAAAAATATTGAATTTTATTTTAGAACTTCTTACAACGTATCTATAAATATATATATATATATATTTAAAAGAATTAAATTTCAGGGTGTAAAATACACAAATATATATATTTTATATATTTTTCATGAGTAAAAAATTTAAACAAAAAGTAAGTTTTGAATTTTAATGTGTGAATATAATATTTAAATTCAAAGTTTTTCTTAAAGAAATGTATGAAAATGAGATATAAAGAATTTTATTACAGAATAATTAAAACATATTTTACATTTTAAAAATTCTAATATTAAAATATATATTTTTTTTCATCAAAACTAATAGAAAATTCTATTAAAATTAACTCTATATTTTATTAATTACTCTTTTAGAATATTGAGTAAATGGTATCGATTAAGTTACAAATTACACAAGACTTAATATGAAAAATATAAAGATACTTATTAACGTAAATTTTACTAACATTTACTTACTATATTTATATTAATCTTTCCATATCCGAACTCGATTTTCATCTATCTAACTCCGTCCTCCAGATTAATGAAGGATGGACAGTCGGACGGACTTCAGCGAATGTTGTTTTTTCTTATATAAAGTATCAATCATTTAAATAATTTTCTATTCAAATTTATTACATAAAAAACTAAAGAATAATATATAAAAGTTTAAAAAATAATAAATAATAATTTTATTTGTCTTTTAAACTTTTTTTTTACTTTTACTGAATATTTTTCATAAATATTTTATTTATTATAAATAAAATATTTTCATCTATCAGTTTCTATGAATATTTTTTTTCTTTCAATTTCCTGTATAATACAGCTGGAATATAAACTACGACTTGCTATATTAGATGCGATAGGAAATTGTATTGTAAAGTATAAGCCGTATTGATATAGAAACAAACAAAATTCAATATAAAGAAATAGATTCAAACCTCGATGTAGCGCTCTACTAAAAATCGCCACCCTCATAAAACACCAATGAATATATGCTACATCTTTTCTATAAATATTAAAAAGAGAATTACTGAATCTATGATACGATTTTTGTACTTTAAACGGTATTATCATCACTAAGTCTCTCTGTATAAATAATACAGTAAAGTCTCAAAAGCAAACTTGTTTATAGACCTCGTTACTATAGTTTGAGAAACTTCGGTTTAACGCTATATTCGCAATTTAGTCCCAATTTCAGGAACTAATAAATGGTGTCGTTAAATTAAATTATAGTTGTGTATTATGTTGTTTTTATTTCATACAGTTAAACCTCTTAACAACGGCCAGTGACGGTACCATATGTCCGTTGTTTAGAGATGGATGCTGGCTGTTATTGGAGTATCAATTGTATTTTTATTTTTCCTTCTATAAGCATTCAAAAATTTAATTTGTTTTTAAAATAATGTTGCACAGATATTTATAAACTGTTTCAGTAAAAAATTATAATTCCATTCACATTTACAGATTAAAATTTTAAAGATAAAATATTTTAGTTAGGCAAAGATATCATGAAATCAGATAGGAGATTAATGCAAATTAATTTAATAATGACTTACTTATCTGATATATTTAACAGGTTAGATTTAAAATGATAAGATAATGAGTTTAACCATTAAAACTGTATATAATCAGTTATAATGGATGAATTTAATTTTTTAAAAAATGAAAATACTACATCTATATTGGGAAAATTATAGAATTACATTATTTCTTCATAAACTAGTTAATGCTCTTAATATAATTCTTGTTGTTCGAAATGTTTTGAACACATCATGAAGATCAAAGGTTGTTGAAAATGAAATTTATCCATCTTATCCATTAACTTGTAGGCGAGTGGGGAGCAAAGAGTAAAATAGATTTACTATAAGAATATAATGAAACCTGTTGGTATACAGAGGATATAAAAACCTTATTTCTCACTAGAAGTAAAAGCATATGGGACAACATACAAAAGAAGTAAGTCATACATTGAAAAATTCTTGACAATTTATATTTTACTTTTTAATTTTTAAAATATTGATTAATAAAATAAATGAATAGGAGTTACATATTAATAAAAATATATTAATCTAATTAATGTAAACTTTATTTTGGTTTGTCTACAAATTTCATTTTATTTTATTATTCTAAGAATAATTCGTAATTTTATTGGTAAAATTATATTTTATACTTCTCTGCTATTATCGTTTCAGTATAGCTGATAGATTCTATAGAATAATTAAATTGTAATATTAGAAATGTATTCAAAATAATATTGCTAAAAATTAAAATATTAATGTTAATTTACTGATTTTTAAAACAAAATTTCTAATATTACTCAAATTATTACACATAAAAAAAACATCAGAGAATTCGAAGCTATTTATAATCTAGAAACAATAGATGAAGGAAGATCATTAGTGGGTTATTTAACGGGTTATTAGAGGTTACAATAATCAGGAAACTAGATTGCTTACTTATTCTAATTTAATTTTAATTTATGCACCTATGCATATATACTAAAGTGTATATATACTTTAATATATGTAGCGTAAATGTTTAGTGTTCGTATTGAACACTGTACAACATAGACTGTACTAATGGTATTTATATAAAATGTTAGGCTATATATTCTTACGATTCGGAGTGAGAATATTAATGAGAATTCAAGTCAAATTTATTGTAATTTTTTCGATTTTTTAAAATCTAAATCATTAAATTAAGCTGGTGATTATATCTAACCATAATAATATTTTATATAAAACAACCCACAGTATTATTAACTTTCTACTGTTTCACGAAAATTTTTCGAACATTATCTCATCTCATTTTTATTATCGTGAAAATATATATGAGCATATTTAAGTTTACTTAGTAAAAAGCTACTAAAAAGTTTATAAATGACAAAACTAAGCATTTTTATAGAAATTAATACAGACAATAACGTCTGAATAAAGTCTTTTTTTCGTCTACTTTGCAATTCTTTCATTTCTTTCGTCCAATTTTCTCTAGAAATGGGGCAATAAAAAAGGAAAAAAGAAATGTTACCTACGCAGCAATACAGTACAAAATTTTAAGGAATGAAACTGTTACATTTTCTAAAATACACAGTACAAAATAATAAAGCACGTGATAAAGAAACCACGAAGATCTAATAATGCGTGTGGTTTTTACAAAGACATGAAGTTTTTGACAATTCTAAAGCTAAAATATATTTTTGACAATTCTAAAGCTCAACAATCTAGAAATCTCAACAAATAAAAGTATCAATAACTCAGTTTGTAAAGAGTCTGTGCTTAGTTAAGTGGAAATTAAATGGCAATACTTCGAAAATATTTTCAGACACAAATGGTTGGAAGTAATGGATAGGATTAATGGCATATGTAATGGTTGAGTAATTGAGCTATAGTGATTAGAAAATGACGTGCAGTATCGTTTCCAAGTGAAATGTAAAATAGCCGCTTTAAAAAATTCATCAACGAGTTTCGTAACTTTCCCGACAACATTTAAAACTGCGTGTGGCACCATCTGTTATGAGATATGACACATAACCATCTGTATCTCCCTACCCCGTCGACCTTTAACCACCAAAATAGAATTGCATAAATTCTTCTAGTACATAAACCTCCTTGCAAAATTACAAAAATTTTCGACAAAAATCATGGGAGTTATTAAGCTTCAAATTAGGTCAACAAAATCGTGCTCCTCACACACACATTCATATACAAAGAAAAAATAAAACGTAAACGTTTCAAGGTACCGAGTCAAAAATGTAAAAATTTTCGGGAGTCATTTTTGACAGATCTCCAAACTTTTCCTCTGTTATATATAACAGAACTGGGAAAGTAAAAATTAAAAGCGTTATCTCTATCTCTAAATACTGCTTCCCGATATGCATAAGTTCTTCGATGCTATTGTATAGAGCGAGTAGCATCCACTCGTTTATATTAGATGTAATAAAATGGGCACTACAGACGAAAAACGGGTCGAGAGGCACTTATCCACTCGTCTCTGTAAGACTAGAGAATTGTCGTGAGAAAACATCCAGAATCGAGTTTGGAGAAAAGATATGATCTCTGAAGACGTAAACAAATGTAGAGAATAGAACCTGTCTCACGAGGATGAATACTGCCCTTAAAAGTAATAAAAAAAATAATAAAATATTACATCTTAATATTTAAAATAAGATAAATGCAAAAAGCACGTTTGTATTAAGAAAATATTGATGTAGCCTTTATGCGAAAATGTTTTTGTAACGTTTGAAAATTAACTTCGTTAATTCTAATATATCGCTTCTTTTAAAGTTAATGTCTATTCCGAGAACTAAAAAATCTCTAGAGAAGAAAATTGGGAGTTTAAAAAAAGAAAAATTTTAATTTAAACTTTTTTTTATCATTAAAACACTTTAACTTAATTTGGGAAAAGTTTAAATCCGAAAATAGAGTCTGTTTTTAAACAGCTTCCATTTTTCATCTGTTTGAAGAAAGAATTTTGCTGTAATTTATAATATGAGTTTTGTAGTAATTTTTGAAATTGTCATTCTGCTTGATCATATCATTTTTCTATAGGCCTATTTTATTTCAGATTAAATATAACTGGGCATTTTCTATAAGGTAGAAAAATTGAAACGTGCCATGTTTACAGAATACAAAGGAATATATAATAAACATCGATTTTGTCCATTACGAATGAATTTAAACTAAAATGGAATCAGCCAACATAGCTAAAGAATGAGGCATGATCCTGTAGTCATCAGCTATGAAAATTTGCTAAGTTTTGATTAGATTCTTAGGAATTTTAATAAAAATGCCAGTACATTTGTTACGCCGAATCAAAGAATGCTACTCATTTCGTAAAGTAGGCAAACGAATTCATAAAATTGAATAATTTTGAATTACCTATTTCGTAAACTCCGCAATTTTTTATTATTTTCCAACAAAATACTGATGTTTGTTTGGCTCATTAAATATGGCTTAGAAAACATTAAACGAAAATTTTAGTATTTTCTTCTTATTTTAAGTTTACTTGATTTCCTGATGATGTTTACTTACATAATACGGATTTAAATAGAAAATACTACAACAGGTATTAGTATTCGGGCATTATTCCACACTGAGTTGGACGTTTATTAGAATTAAACGTTGATTTTACATTAGTTAGATATTACGTAGACATTAAATGATAGATTAGGCATAAATATACACAACAAAATAAAGAAAGCAAAGTACTTACAACAAAAACTTTGAATTTAGAAACTGAAACAACGGTAAACAAAAAAGGAAACACCTGCATGAATTTAGTACAATGCTACATTAGTATCACTTGCCAATTTCATGCCTTTAGAATGAATATTGTGCTCGTAATGCAAAATTTTAAACATTTCACAGAAAGAAAAGAAAAACACACTAGAAATTTAAACAATTAAAACAATTAACGGTTTAAAAACGTTAGGTTCAACGAGTTTTTAGTGTTAAAGCATGTGTATTTTTAAAAGGTTAACTTGCCAGGAAAAGATTTTCTCTGTAAGCCAAATGATATGTATAAGCTCACCAGTAGCAGAATGGACAAAACTACTAAATACTCTTAGTTGATCGTGGGTTCACGAACTGGCCACGTGGAATTTCCGGATTTTCTTCACGTGTGTAACATGTAAATAAAGTCAGTTTTCCATATAAAACTCCTCTTAGGATGCCATTTTTCTCTGGCAGATCGCGTTTGCTTTGTTTTCTCAATCCATAATTATAATTTATTGATAAAGATTATAGTTATACAGCTCTTATACTTATGAAAATATTTATAACTATATAAAATAATTTTTTCTATGCATTTTTTTTTCAATTTTTAACACATAATAAGCTTTTATTAAAATTGACATTTACATACATATTAGATTATTTTACTATAAAAATATTTCAAATGTAACAATGTAAATACATTATTTTTACAATAAAAACAAAAAAATTTCATTTAAAACATATTAATAATTTCGAATTCTTTAATAGAAAATAATAGAAAAATGTATTTGCTGAAAATAGTTTTTTTCAAAAAATATAAATGGTAAAAAATAGAAAAAAAAATCAGTTATCCAATCTGGAAATTTTTAATAAGAAACAAAAAGTTAATTTAAATAGAAAATATTGGAATTTAATTTATAATATTTAATTACTGTATTTTTAATGCATTTTGTACTGATATCTGTTTTTAAAAATTATTGTAATGATTAGCGTAAAATATATGATACAATTAAAAACAACTCTCTAATTAAAGTGAAGGGAAAAAAGTCCTATGAGGTGCTAGTGTTCTAGCGTATCTATTATTTCCATATTTGTTATAAGAATTTGTTGTTGTATCAGTAAGACAACACGAGTGTCCCTATTCCTATATGTGTTTTCTTCGCGTGCTTAACACGAAGAAAACTTGGAAAACTCCATACTGCCAACTCATTAGGACGAACTTAGAAGCAATTATCTCTGATGTTAACCAATAAGAAAATAATAATAAATAAAATTTAAAGCTGAACAATAACTGTATTAAATACTAGAAGGCTTTTTTTTCACTTTTTCAAGACATTTATGTCAATTTATAGTCGTTTCTATTTTCCCCTGTGATGGAGAAATGTGTCTTGACAATTTTAAGCTAAGTATTTTATATAGAGAGCAGATTTGTTTCTCGCCATCAACATTCCAAACTTCTGTCACATCAACCATTTTATAGGATAAAGGATACGGATGATGATTAATTAGAATTTGTCTTCTAGTTGGTGATGACTTTAGCCAAAATATAGACTATTAAAAACAGATGATAAACAAAAGAAAATTAAGTAAAATATTGTGAATTGTGTAAATGCTATTTTCAATAAAGAGTAAAAAAATTGAAGTGAAAAGAAAAGGAGTTGTTCATTTAAACGTGTTGTGACCATTTCCAGATGATTTTACACGAGTCTATTGCATGCAACTGAAAAAAAAAGAAAAGAAAAA